CCCCATCTCCACCGCTCTGTGTCAGATGACCTGCACGTGAGAAATCGAACCAACCACCCCCCTCATCGACGCGCACGCACACCTCAGTGACGTCCGGCAGCCGGAAGGGCACGGAGGGTATGGAGGAGAACTGGGAGTGTCGGCCTCGAACGCCGAGCCGAGGTCCGCTCCGTCAGCGCCAGCAAGTCCCTCGCTACGTCCATGCGGAGGCGTTCGGTCAGCGATGGTCTGAGACTTCCCACCGTCCGCGATAGCGATAGCGATGGCATGTTTTCGGAAGGAGGGGCGATGCAGATGATCAGGGCGTGGTTAGGGTTGCTGGTAGAATACCGCGAGAAGGAAGGTACAAGAGGAGGCCTGAGAGAAAAGGGGGAGCGGGCAGAGTGGCAGGGGTGCTCTCTTGACAGATGCACAGAGGTACGCAAGGAAGCACACAGTGCCATACAGTACTCCGGAGTACACTAATGTGTAGCACATGGAAAGCGGAAACGACAATCCTACCGCTTTCACTCCCCTCCCCCAGCGGGACGTGAGCATGACACCTGGTGCCAACATACTGTGACATGCAAATGAATAGAAAGCACCAGACCTCATCTGCACAGTCACTATCGTCGACGACGGTGACAAAGGTACGAGCTTGTCGCCGTCATCGCCGTCCGGAGTGGTGGGAGATCGAGGCGCCACCCCCACGTTCAGGGGAAAGTGGGAGATCAGAAACAAGGGAAAGTGGTGTGTGGTTTGTGTCAGGAATTTAGGGCCGCACCTTCATCATCGTCGTCGGCAGCGGCGGGATAGGGTCGCCGCCCCTGGCCTCCTCCAGCAGGTTCAGGTGATACCGCTGCAGCGCGTTCCTCCCCAGGACGGACTTGACGATGCCCTTGCTCTCGACCCACCTGGGTCGGCGGCGGGGGGGCGGGCCGGGGGGGTACGGGGTGACGTCAGTATCAGTAGCGGGTCCTCCTTTGCGCTACAATTGAGGAAACGTGCGGTACACGCTCTCACGAAGACGTTAGTGTGAGAGAGGGAGACAGAGACAGAGAGAGACAGAGATACAGAGAGAGAGAGAGAGAGAGAGAGAGA